GCCCCGGCTGCCGGGCGCTGGCGGGCGGGCAGCACGCGTCTCCGGCCGCTCCTCCTCCAGCCGCCGCCGATGCTATCGCCCCGGCTCGCACAAAGCCCCGGAGTGGAGTTGCACGCGCGCACACACTCCCTCCCAGCCCCCTCCCCCGCGCCCTGCCTCCCGCCGCCCGCGCCGCCCGCGCTCCCTCCGCGCACTCCCCCGCGCACACACACTTCACACTCACACCCGCCGAGGCGTACACTCGCGCGCTCACACCTGCTCAGGGGGCGGGGAAGGGGCCCGGGACCCGGCCCTGGGGGGGACGCCCGGAGGATGAGGACAGTGCTCGCTTCCCAGACGTCCCCATCCGCCCGGCCGCCCCCGGCCCCTTCAACTGCGAGGGCACCGAGCCTGGGAGCCTGGCGTGGAGCGCGAGAGCTGGCACCGCGAGCTGGGAGCCGGCAGCGGCAGCGTAGCGGCCCGACCAGCTGGAGAAGACGCGCCGCCGGGAGCAGAAGGACCCGGAGCCCGCCGTCTGCGGAATCTCGCTTTCCAGCTCCCACGCAGCTGCCACTGGCTGGACGGGTGGCGGCCAGAGGCTGAGTCTGACCCAAGGACTGGTTTCCCTCCCTAACTCTGTCCCTCGTGGGAGCTTAGTTGGGGCCTGGGCGTGGGGAGACAGAATTCAGAGAATTGTCCAGGCTGGGTTAGGGGCGCTGCCGTGGCTGGTAGCGACTGGAGAGCCCAGGCCGAACGTGCTGCTGTTGAAGACAAGACAACCGCGCTGCAGCCACGGGGGCTTCGGAGGAAGATGGCTAAAACCCTAGCGACCCAGGGGCAGCTGAGATGTACCCCGCTGCTTGCCATCCCTTGTCCCCAACGATGCGAAGCGGGAGGGTCTGGTCCCTGGGTCCCACACCTCCTGAGAGGGAATAAAGAGGAACTTATTCTCAACGGGATGGTGGGATGAGCAGGACCCGTCGGGAGCAAGCTAGAAAGGGTTAAAAAAAATACCTTGTTTGTTAGCAATAATAAATTTTTTCCAAGTGGCTCTGGGCATCGAGGGAAGGGCAGGGCTGTGGAGGATTCTAGAGCAGGAGGCTGCGAATTCCGCAGTTAGGCGAGTTTAATGACCTTTTTGACAGAGACAAAGTGATGCCAATACAGTAGATAAATAAACGGATCTGTCACCGGGTAGCGGCTAGGCTGTGTGTGAATTTATTTTTCTCATTTAAATAATTTGATCTATTCCATCATTCCCAATCTCTCCCATTTGCCAGCTGTCGGGTGAGAGCTTGGCCCTCAACATCTGAAAAACAAATCTTTAATTTTCTTACAAATATACTATCATCGAGCTCTATCTGGTTTGCTAATTTCCCGCTTGGTGGTTTCTCTCCCTCCCTGGTGGGCTTTGGGGGCTGGGACATCATGTGGGGATGTGACAATGGCAGTATGGGCCATCCTAGCTGTTAAGAGTCACCGCCCACCTACAGTGGAGGCCACTGTGCCTATGGAGGAGGGGGGATATGCCCTGCTAAGCAAAGGGGTGCTCCAGTCTAGGGGTGCACCAGTCTAGGGGGTCATCCTCAAAGATTTGTCAGCAAACAGCGACTACCACCTGGCCATATGTGGGTCTCCATCACCCTGGAGCAGGAGCGGCTGGTTTCCCAAGCAGACACTGGAAAATGTTGCCCAGGGGACCAGAGGGAAGGACATGCAGACCAGAGCCAGAGAAGCAGCAGCTGCCACCTCTTGATAAAGATTAACGGGCCCCAGTGGGCACCAGCAAGGAAGAAGTACAGAAGGGATCAGAAGACCCATCTTCCAGGACAAAGCTGGGGGAGCCTCTTCATCCAAAACTAGACACCTCAGCCCCATCCTCTAATCAGTTGCCACAACTGCTTTCGTTGCTCCAAAGAACCAAAAAGTCCTGGATGTTCTCTAAAGAAAAAAATTCTGGTGCCTGATGGGAAATAAAGAGGGGAAAAGCTGAACTCACGGCAAAAGGTGCAGATATCACCGGCAGCACCCAGGGACTCTTAGGTGATGGAGAGGAGGGGGAGCCTGGCCAGGTGCTGATTCTGGTTTGGTTACCCTGCAGGTAGCCTCTGACCCTCAGAAAGCAAAGTGCAGGGCACGAGTGCCTGGCAGGAAAACCGAAGAAGCAGAAGGGGAGGAGGTGGCTCCAGGGAGTGGACAGACCTGCACGGGGGACCAGAGCCCAGAGAGAGGTCAGTGGGAGGGCAGGCTCAGGGGAACAGGCAGAAGAGAAAAGCCAGCAGTTGAGCTGTGCTAGAAAAGTGAGTGGATGGAGGCAGAGAGGAATCTGAGGCCCCCAGAAGCTAGAGGCTGCCCTGGCACCTGCAGCCCCCTTGGCACCCCAGAGAAGCAGCACAGCTGGGCCTTGCTCCTGCTGCGCCCCAGAGTGGGCGGACATTCACCAGGGCTGCTGCGGAGGGAGGCTGTTCTCTGCTGCCATGGTGGCTGTGGTGGGGAACAGCCTCCAGCTGCAGAGGTCATGGGGCTGGTCCCTGGCATGGAGCCCAGCTGCCGCCCCCGGGGTCAGAATCCTGATGTGCCCAGCCCAGCCTGGGCTTTATTCTGACCTAACTGCAGACCATTTTGCAGCACAGTTCTCCCCAAATGGAAAGCAACTTACTCCCTCCCAGTCTGGGGGATGGTGAGATGCATTACAAAAGCAACAGAAAGAAAATAATGACCAGCGATTAATACGTGCTTTCTATATGTCAGCTGTGCACGCGCTAATTTACACGTCACTTCATGGAGTGCCACAGCCGGTTAGGATAGCATCTGCATGAATCTTCCATTTCACAGATGAAGACTGAGCCTTGGAGAGTTAAGAAGGCCCAGCTCACACCACTAGCATGTAACTTCCCGCTCTCCCTCCTCTTCTCCCTTCCTGGCGTTTCTTGGCCATCACTCTGTCACGAACTACGTGTGAGGTGCCAGGATTTGCGTCTGGCTCTGCCTGACTCCCATGTGGGCAGGTTTGACCCTGGTGCCATCCCACTGGTCAGAGCACAGGACAGGCTCCAGGAGCAGATCTCTGCTGGGGGCCAGGACCGCTGGCTGCTGGGAGAAAGGCTAAGAAAGAGGAGGACTCGAGCTCTTGGCTAGAGCAGGCGGGGACCCCCAGCCTCAGCCCCCCTCCCTGTGGGGGTGCTTCCCTCCATTTTGTGCTGCCCCCAGCAGGCACGGGCTGGCCCTGAGTCTCCTGGGGATTGGAAGCCACCAATCCTGGCTTTTTGGATTGTTGGTAAACAAGTCTACCCAACAGACAGGCCTCGGCTCCCCCACAAGGCAGCCAACTCCGGATTTATGAGGCCTCCAAACCTCATTCAGACTAATGCAGCTTTTCATTCCAAAATAAAAGGGGCCGCTGTCTGAAAGGACAAGTGCGCCCGCATTTCATTAACATCCCGAAAAAAAAAAAAACGGCTGAGCTGGCCTAAGTTGCTGCCAGAGAAATTCATGACTCTGACCCACTCACAGGTGGGGGTAGGCGGAGAAAGAAATGCAAGGCTGCCAGCCCCTCCCTGTCCCCAGGCCCCCTTCCCAGACAGCCCCCCCTTCTTCTAGAGGGTGGGAGGGGAGCTCCAGTGGTGGCCGGGCGGGCTCATTTAGAGGAGTCCCCTGTGTGTGTGTTTTGTTTAGACTGATCCACTCCGGCTCTCAGTCCCCCCACAATCACAGTGAGTGATGAGGCCCTGGGCTCGAGTTACCGAGATTCATGATCTCAGCTTCCCAGGGAACCACCGAGCACACGCGTGTGGTTGCCGAGTGCAGATTCCTAGGGCTTGACTGCCCTCTGCTGAAGCCTGCCTACCGTCTTCTCCCTCAGGCAGACACCGCTGTGGCAGCTGGACGTGGCCCTGAGGGCACCCACTATCCCATATCCTCCAGGGACCTGCCCTGGGGTGTCTGGGGGAGAATGGGGAGGAAAGGCTGCCCCACCTCACTCCGAGAGGGGCAAAGACAGAGGAGGCAGCTGCCAGCCCTTGTCTGATCTTTGCCAACCATTCGAGCAGGGAGAAGGAGGGAGAAGACTTCTCAGTATCCACTCTTGGTTCAACTACATCATCTCCGTGGCAAAATACACGTAGCCAACAAAAGCCAAGCCGCAGTCCCTCCGCGGACCGCAGCCCGCCTTGGGGCCCAGGGACAGGGCCCTATCGTCAGCCTGGGGCCCCTGTCCCTCTTCCCCAGCCCAGAAGGAGGAGGCTAGGCAGCCGCTGGGTTTCCAGCAACAAGCCCAGCGAAAGCTGCATCACCTTAGATTTTTGTCAACAGTCAAGTAAGTTCATTCCCACTGAAGTCAATTCCTGTGTTTATTGTCAGCTTAACCCGCTGCTACGAGTTATTTCTCGGCAGTGAGGGAGACAGGTAGACAAACCACCAGAGATATGTTATTTTACTGACATCTGCGTTTCAACGGTTCAGGTGCAGTTCTAGTGGAGGAGTAATGGTACCCGCAACCCTGTTGGCTGTCCTGCATAAGGGAGTGGCCCTGATGGTCAGGAAACCCCCAGGGTGCTGTTGCAGGAGAGGGGGGTTGGGGGAGGGGAGGGAAGAACTGCCCTTTGGAAACAATCACCTCTGTGGTCTGGTAGCAGGTCCCCTTTATCC